GCAGCGTCACGTGCCGTCGCGGCTGGTAGAGAGGCCGTTTCTGCATATCTCGTTAGACGGTCGATCGCTACAATAATCCAGCAATTCCCAGCTGATGTATATGGTAGAGGACCATAAAGGTCTATCTTAACCCGGTCAAATGGTTGCATTGGGCACGGTAATGGCTGCATTGGTGCAGTAGGACGGCTAGGATTGTGCTTGCGGCGTTGGCACTCTGTGCAAGATTGAATGTACATTTGAAGGAATGTGTACATGCCGCGACAATAAAACCGAAAATGTAGCCTGGCGTAGGTTTTAAACAAACCGGCGTGTGCACACTGCGGATCGGCATAGAAAGCAGCGCATATGCTGGCACGGAGATGCCTGGGTATGACGAGTAGCCATTTGCGGTCGTCAGGGTGGTAGTTACGGCGATAATGTATTCCATCACGGATGGCGAAGTGAGAGGCTTGTCGGTGTAGCGCTCGAGATGGCGGGTGGGCGAGTGTTTCAGATAGGTAATCCATCATAGATGCAATCTACGAATCTTTGTGCTGCTCCGCAGCCATGTCGATGGGTCCTGATAGTGGAAGTAAGTTGTCTTGGATGGAGACACTCGCAATATCAGCAGAAACAGGCGAACGCGAAAGAGCATCGGCGTCGGCATGCTTTTGGCCTGAGCGATAAATGACACGTATGTCGTACTCTTGGAGCCGAAAAGCCTACCGTGCCAAGCATCCGGAGGGATCCGTGAGGGAGAATGACCAGCAGAGCGCGTGGTGATTGGTAACAACATCGAAAGAGCGGCCGTACAGATAAGGCCGAAATTTGGTAGTGGCCCAGATGATCGCTAGGCATTCTTTCTCAGTTAATGAATAATTTGCTTCTGTTCTTGTAAGAGTGCGGCTCGCGTATGCAACAACATATTCTTGGTAACCAGGCTTTAGTTGGGCGAGTACAGCGCCAAGACTGACACCGCTAGCATCCGTGTGAATTTCTGTGGGAGCGTTTGAATCTAAATGTTGCAGTATGGGTGGTGTTGTTAGCAGTTCATGGAGCTTCGCGAAAGCACTATCGTAGGCTGGAGACCACGCAGATAGATTACAGTCGCTCTTAAGTAGGTCTGTTAGAGGTGCTATGATCGAGGCGAAATCCTGGACGAAGCGGCGGAAGTATGAGCAACGCCCAATGAAACTACGCAGCTCCTTGAGAGACGCAGGCCTTGGGAGCTCGCTAACAGCACCTAGCTTAGCGGGGTCCAGGAGATTGCCCTCCTTTGATACGACGTGTCCGAGAATGGTCAGCTTGCGTGCTCCCAAGTGACACTTCTTCAAGTTTAGTTGGAGGCCAGCTGCATAAAGGCAGCGTAGAACCTGTTCCAAGCAACGAAGGTGCGTGGGAAAAACGGGCGAGAATACCACCACATCATCTAAGTAGCACAAACGTGTTTCATTTGAGGCCTCGTAAGATAGTGTCCATCATGTGCTCAAATTTTGCCGGCGCATTGCATAGGCCGAATGGCATCACGTTAAATTCGTATAAGCCGTCTGGTGTAACAAAGGCAATTTTTGGTCTATCATCCCGATTCATGGGCACTTGCCAATACCCAGAGCGTAGATCAAGGGAGGCAAAGAACTCTGCGCCTTGTAAAGAGTCGAGGGCGTCATCGATCCGAGGCAAAGGATAAACATCCTATCGTGTTATTTTGTTTAGGCAACGGTAATCTACACAAAAGCATATTGTGCCATCCTTCTTTTTAACTAAAACAACCGGCGACGCCCAAGGACTGTTCGATAGTTCAATGACGCCGCGCTTTAGCATGTCACCTACTTGTTCATCAATGACACGGCGTTCAGTCGGTGAAACACGGTACAGTTGCTGTCGTAGTGGTGGATGATTACCTGTGTCGATCTGGTGGCATACAGTAGATGTTCGACCTAAGGTAGCGCTATGACTGTCAAAAGATGGCCGAAAATTGTCAAGGAGGCTCAAAAGCTCACACCTCTGTTGTGGGTTTAGGTCTTCGCCGATTACACGGTTGAGAATGTCGGCAGTGGAAGGGCCATTCCCGGAACTACAGGAGAGGGCGCTGACTTCCTATGATCCATCAAGAACGTCAAGTGTAGCGAGGGTTTCGAATGATTCAATTGAGCTGATACATTCGCCCCGAAGCAGCATACTCGTGAATGGGAAAGGATTCCCCACAGGCACGTCGGTCGCACCACCTTGAAGAGTAACGAGAGCGGTTGGGAGCGTTGATAGGTGGTGATGAACGAAAGCAGCGGAAGGCGTGAAGAATGCGGTAGCGTCAACGACGGTGGAACACGACACAGGTGCGAAGACAGTAGCACGCAAAGGGATTCGAGTGTCGTCACTACTGACCAACTTTGCATAGGAAGGGCGATCATCCGCAGGTAGAGCATCACCAAGAGGACAAAAGACAACTTCGGCACGGGCGCAATCAATGACGGCTTGGCGATGGGAGAGAAAATCTCAGCCTAAAATGTCGTGAGAACAGCGCGAAAGTACTACGAACTACACTTTGTAAGGCACTCCTTGAATTACAAGTCTGGCTGTACACTCTGCTACAGGCTGCACAGGCTGTGCAGTGGCAGTATGAAGAAACCAGCTCAAGTAAGGCGTCACTTTTCGAATTGCATGGCAAACTTTTTCGGAAATGACAGAAATGGCGGCACCAGTATCAATAAGGGCAAGTACAGGTACACCTTCAAGAACGGCATTAATCACATTCGTCGGCGAACGAAGAGGGCTTGTGCTTTGCGACGAGGATGCAGTTCTTGCCTCGGGAACTGCGTCATTCAGTTTTCCGCGTCGATTGTAGGGGGGCGTCGATGCATCGGGGAGGGCGAGTGACGACGTGGAAAAGGAGATCGGTGATCAGAAGGTGGTCGTTGGCTTGGTCGAGGAGGGTGCAATTCGGGGTCTGGAGTGGAGGGAAATGTGTGGTCGTACTCATATGGACGCGGATTTTCACGTGAATGGAGCGGGCGGCGGCGGCAAAGACATGCGACGTGTCCGGGTAGACCACACGAAAAGCAGATCGGCCGGTTGTCGGCAGTGCGCCATAAATTAGGGACTCGGTGGACTGGAGGTCGTGGCGGCTGGGTGGTATAAATAGGAGGAGGCAGTGGAGGCGGCGCTCGGAACGTAGGTGGACGTGGTCGTGCTGCTGCTTCGGCATACGTCAATGGCGCATTGACTGGTAGCACCAGCTGTGGAGGAAGGGCCTGAGACACTTATATCTTGTATAATAGTCCGCAGTGTAGGGCTAAGCGGTGCACTCCGCTCCGATAGGCCGGAGATGAGCGACAGTTGGCGGGCAACTTCTTCGCGTACAAAATCTTTTATCTGCGAGAGGGGGACGGAATCTTGCGAGAGAGTCAAGCTGGACATATGATTCCTAATGTGGGACAGCACGGCGGCTGATGAAACGTTGCCGGCGGAGCTCATCATAGCTTTGGCAGAGCTCGATAACTTGAGCTACAGTAGCCAGGCTTTTTGATATGAGCATCTGGAATGCGTCCTCGTCGACACCCTTGAAAATATGCTTGATGCGGTTCACCTCTGTCATGTTCGCATCGGCACGTTTGTACAAGTCAATGACGGTCTTATATGTAACTGGTGAAATTCTCACCAGGCAGTTGAGATCTTGACTGAAGGCGCTGCTTTGCACGAAGTTTGCGAACAGCAAGACGACCGAAGACTTCGCTGAACTTTGTCCTAAAGTTCTGTCCTGGTTGGATTGTCGGTTTTATGGTTTCGAAGCCACAAGTGGACAATGCCGCTGAGGTAAATGCGGAGGGTGGCCAGTCTCGTGGCTTCGTCCCATTTGTTCAAGACACTCACGAGTTCGTAGGTAGCCAGCCAGTCGTCGACGTCGTGGTCGTCCGTGCCGCTGATTATGGGAGGGTCCCGCTGACGGACCGCGCCGGAGCACACGATGGCCTGTGGAGCCATAGGCGGAGGGCTTGTGGCAAATGCAGTGGTCATAGCGGCAGGTCGAGCCCGGCTTCGCAACTTCACCAAATATAATAAAGAACTGTGATGGTAAGAACTGTTATTTGAAACCAGGTAGGAGCGTAGGCCTAGCCAGCGAAAGCAGCGATAACATTCGGCGCGAGCGTCTCGTGCTTAGCACTGACGATGTGTTTTCCGAGCTATGCAAGACCCACTGCATTCATCATTACAGAATGTATATATAAATAAGAGCCATAAAAAAAACTGAATCAGAAGATGAAATTTTTGAAGTGTATTGATAGGATTTGCATCTATGACCCTGCGCTCATCAGCCTGCCCTGTTTAAGATCTATCACTAATTTTTTTTTAAAAAGCTAATGGCAAGCATTTACTGCTGGTGGCATGCAGATCTTTGAGGGGCTTCGGTGGGTTCAGTACCACCTGTGAGATAGTGTGAAGGGCACTCTAAAGCAACACTCCTAGCTTTTCTTTCAACTTCTCTTAAGACACACGCTAAATGTCACCCATTTCTGTACCTATTTGCAATGTTGAACACCAAGCAAGCATTGCTTTGAATACCACAGGAGTCACAGAGGGGTCACTCAACATGCCCAAGTGTTCAACAAAGCATAGTCAACACTTGCAGCGCACTGACAAACATGAAGTAACAAGTGTAAGGGTTGTGAGTTTCTGGTTGTGCTATGACACCTATGTGTTTGTCTTAACTGTCCTTTGTGTTTGAGCAGTGTGCTGCTCAAACACAAAGCTGTGATAATAGATAGTTCGCACTCATCTTGTGTGGGTTCTTTTCATGCGCCGTTTGGGCTTGATCAACATTTGACAAGTATGCAGTTGCTTCCTGCTCATTATGTGGCATTGTATTTATTGCTATTGCCTTCATTGCTTTGGCCTTGCGGCAAAACTGTGACATTTTTTTTTTAATATACCTGCCAGCTCCAACCAAGATCCTGTCTTTTTCTTTCACGCTGTACCGGCTTCTTAGCAATGCTTCACTCGCACTTTCTTCCTTCTTCTTTGCACAGGACTCCCCTTCTCTATCTTCGGACACTCCCATCAGAGCGGTGGATGGGAATGAAGGTGCCGACTTGTGTCCTCCCGAGTTGAGTGCCCTGGTTGAGGACTGTGACAACTATGCTTGGCAGCAGCAAGAGAAGCACGTGTTTGTGCTCAGCGATGCAGGGAAGCCCATCTATTGTCGACACGGCAGCGAGGAGCAGCTTGCCGCTCTTGCGGGTGTCATGCAGGCCCTCGTTTCGTGCATCAGCCTTACTGGAGACCAGGTTCTATTTTCAGTGTCTGCATAGAATACACCACTTGCCAACATAGTCACTCAAATGGCCTCTTTCTTAACTCAGTATATATATTCTTGACCCATGGTAAAACTGTCAGTTCAAGCCCACGAATAAACAGAAAGGAAGAGAGGACGCTTGTCCTCCAGATGCACTTGTCCTCTCTTCCTTTCTTTTTATTCGTGCGCTTGAAGTGACAGTTATACCATGCATATCCAACTAGCCCCACTTTCGATTCTGTTGCATTTCTTGACCCACCCCAGCATACGATGAGTGTGAGATCGTAGTTGTACTTTTTCGTGACCGTCGCCCCGCCGCGGTCATCTAGTGGCGAGGGTACTCGGCTGCTGACCCGCAGGTCGCAAGATCGAATTCCGGCTGTGTCGGCTGCATTTTCGATGGAGGCAAAAACGCTGTAGGCCTGTGTGCTCAGATTTGGGTGCACGTTAAAGAACCCCAGGGGTTCGAAATTTCTGGAGCCTTCTACTAAAGAGTCTCTCATATAATCATGTGGTAGTTTTGGGACGTTAAAGTGCCAACCACTGGCACCCGTATACTCGCGTTTATGCGTCAAAAACGTCAAATGTGCCTGTCGGCGTCGGAGGGGCATACGCGAGGAGGCACGAGGGATCAAGCTGGGCTTGATATTTTTGCCACGCGTACGCTACGGCACCACGCGTACAGTGGCGCCAACCAAACAGGGGCCGCGCGCCAACCAACCAGAGGCCGCGATGCCTCGGAATGTTATGCCTAATGGCCGCCGCTTCGAAGGCACGGCCGAGTGCTGGAAGCAAGCACGGAAACTACTCCAAACGTTCCTGAATGACCGCTTCGTAATCTAGAACGACAATCACACGACGAACGACTGCGAGTGCTACCCGCGTGACGCGGTTTCGTGCAGAGTTCGAGCGACGCCGACAAATCCAGCGAATGCCGGCCAGCTATGCTTGAGCCGGTCCCGTGTGCGATCGTCGGCCGACCAAATGGGGCATGTAGGTGTTCTTGTGCTTTGATCTGTGATTTCCTGTGCCAGAAACGAGTGTTAACAGGCTTCGGAGATTCGAAGGTTTGAGCGTGAGCCCTCTCCTACTGCGAAGGAAATTCAGAGTGGTGTCATCTGCATCGAGCGCAGGCCTCTACCGTCTGGTTCGTATGAACCAACACATGCGTGGAACATCCCCTGAAAAAACTCTACGGTAGTTTCCGTCGCGACATAGACACCATATACGACGCCCGAAACATTGCGTAGTTTGTTCATACGGAGGAATTTTTATCTGCACTGTGTTTGTTTTCAACATCGGTATTCATCATTGCTGAAAGCGAACACTAGCCAACACATTTCGGTGATGTGAAAACGTGCATACTTATAGAAGTGTATTCGCAGATTGTACGACGCTGAAACATTCGTTGGCTTCGGCGCAAATCGTTTTTGTGTGTTGTCAAGTTGATAACAAGCGTGCGCTGGTTGGTAGCAGTGTGAGGTGACTTCGTGTCGGGTACCACCAACGCTGACACATTCAGCTGTCAGCGTTCTGATTTCCATTCACGTACAAGACAGAAACTCGAGCGTGCGTTGCTGTGGTGATCGAAAAAGAAAGTTGCATGATTAAGTGCTGCTGGTATTGCCTGCTATTTCGCTTCTCGCTTCTTCTGCTTCTCTGCCATGCTCAGTAGCACATACGTTGTTTGGAGACATTCTAACACACGCATTCTTAATTTATAGTTCATTTTGACACTCATAGCTATAGGCATACAAATTCTCCATCGTTTTACTGTTTACTATAATATAACGTGCGTTTTGTTTACAGCTGGACAGATAACTGAAAATCTTGCGAGAAGCACCTGATTTGAAATTAGCTGCACGATGACACGATAGTAGGAAGAGAAGGTCACCACATGTATGCACAGATTGAATGAAGGTGCACTAGTACTGTACTGCACTTTGTATAAAAGAAATGCAAAAAGTACCTCATGTGACTTATGAGATGTTTAAGAACTGTGCATGTATTTATCTGTTCCTTCAGACTGTAATGACCTGTAATGACCACTATCTGTCTTATCATGAAAGTTTCGAGTATAGTTAGTTGTGTTAGAGCATATTTTGACTAAAAAAAATGCCCAGAGGCATTCTACATAGTGCTTGGTTTCATTCTTATGACCAGTATTTGTCGTATCATTAAGAGCAAGATGCGGTTCCTTGCATTAGAGTATTTTTTTTCCAATACACTTATCATTCAAAAAGCCCTCCGCACAGGGCACAATTAGTCTCATGACCGAAATTTGTCACATCATGAAGAGTAGGGTGTGGGTTGTTCCATTGGAGAACATTTCGGTTGCAGACAACGTTCAAAAGCCTTTTATGCAGGGTCCAGTTCCAACATAATGACCGATATCTATGACTTCATGATCAGTTGGGTGTCGTTTGTCGTTTTAGAGAAGACTGACTAACAACAACGTCCAGAAATCTTCTATACAGGGTTCAGTTTCAATAATATGACCGATATCAGTGACTTCATGAACAGTTAGGTGTCGTCTGTCATTTTAGAGAATACTTTGACTAAAGACAACGTCCAGAAGTCTTCCATACAGGGTTAAGTTCCAATATTATGACCAATATCAGCGACTTCATGAACAGTTGGGTGTCATTTGTTGTTTTATAGAATACTTTAACTAAAGACAACATCTTCCATACAGGGTTCAGTTCCAATATTATTACCGATATCTGTGACTTCATGAACAGTTGGGTGTGTTTAGTCGCTTTAAAGAATACTTTGACTAAAGGCAACGTCTAGAAGTCTTCCATACAGGGTTCAGTTGCAATATTATGACCGATATCTGTCACACCATTAAGTGTCAGGCACAGTTAGTTGCATTAGAGTACATTTCGACTATGGAAAATGCCCGAAGGCATTCTGCGCAGTATTTGGTTCCTATCTTATGACCAATATCTGTTGTATCAATATGAACCAGGGGTGCTTTGTTGCATTAGAGGATATTTCGAACACACACATCAGCTGAAATCCTGCTACTCTGGCATCAATTGTAGTCTCATGACTGACTTAAATCTGTCAGATCATGAAGTTTCAGGTGGGATTATTAGGTTGAGTGCTATAAAATATGAAGTGTATATATAGTGAAGGTACCAGCATATTCACGATATTGTTAATAAATTTTGTAGTGCAGGTATAGAAACCCAGTGATTTGTAAACCTGATTAGAAGGGCAGCTGCCGCATCATTCACAGAAGAGAGGATGGGGGTAGCTCAATGTCAACTCCATATATTAACATAATAGGGAGAGGGTGCTAAGTCAGCCCCTATATGGACATATTAGGAAGGGGGAGGGGGCACTGTGACGAAATTTTACCCCCCCCCCCCCCTCCTTAAGGAGAACCCTCCACACGGCTATGATAGACGTACAGTATTCTAGATGCGAGTGTCCATTCGCGGGAGCAGCGTACGCATTGATGTTGATTTCTGGTGCATACCGCTGTAGTTACTTTGGGCACTGGAATGTCAATTAACTCTAAAATAGTCTAAACTGCGTTGGGTGAAGCATTTTCAATTTTTCAACGTGTTCTCATATCCTCTAAAACATACAAACCCGCTCCAGTGAAGAACGTGTCGTTCTGTGCTGAACTTGGACAGTTCTAAGCCAAAAGGTTAAGCAACATTGCGCATCGGCTTTGGACGCGTGGGCGTCAATGCAGTTGACGCATGTCAGTGATTGCGCCCCCTTTTCTTCCACAGGTGCGACTAGACGCTTTCGACGCATAGGCGCGTGCATACGCGTGCCAGTGGTTGGCACTTGAAGCCCACGTATCGATCAATTTTTCCTGACCCTGGTCATACTTTCACATGGCTGGGATACCGAAATTATCCAAGAGAATTTGCATTCAGATACTTGGTCTTCTTCGTGCCCACAGTAATGGACATTGCCGGTTGCACTTCAAACACATTTTTTCAGTTGTCATGTTTGGTACAACGTGTTTCAGATAAGTTGTAAGTAGTGAATATCCTGCCCTCTTCCGCAGTTGCAGGGTTTTCTGCACTGTGGCTTCATTCAATAAAAAAAAAAACTGAATTGTCGAGGTCTGCATTTGAGAACAGTTAGTTTTCAGCATGTTGGCTGCAGCGTATTTTGCAAATTTGAGAGTCGGTATGCCATGTTAAATAACTGATTGAGTCAAGCTGTGGTTTTACAATGTACCCCAGGTGCGGTACGTGCGAGCAGGGCGCCTGCGGCTGGCATTCCTGCTACGGCTGCCACTAATCCTGGTGGCGGCCACCAGCCTGCCTATCTCTCTGCAGCAGTTGCAGGGCCAGCTGGTCTACGTCCACGCTCAGGTGGGTCTACTCTGCTTATGATAAGCTCAGGTTGAAAAGGTTTGCCATTGCACTTTGTAGGCTCTCGCTGTGGATAGCGCCACACATTTAGAGTGAATGGACACAGCAGACGCATTTGGAACATTTATTTAACTACTTCTAGAACGGTGATATCGTCAGCCGAATGATTATACATATTGTGATCCACACGCCAGAACAACCTTGCACAATATTGCACAACACTCAACAACATCACAAAAACAAGAACACACGCAGGGCGGCTTCGCCAATGCTTGGCCCATCACAAGGGCCCCCACCATGCAACATGTGGTGCTGCGCACCGGGGAACCACGCGAGATACAACCATTTGCGCCGACCGCGACCCGCCAAAAAAGACCCACTTAGCTCTCGTGCGCTGCCGCCTAGGCCTGCTGACAGGCGTCACTGCGGGTACTACGCACTAACCATAATGATGATAGTGGTGACAAACGCTTGCGAGCTCGCCACCTAGCGCTCGATAGTTGTGAACCCGAAATGTGGCATATGCGCGAAACATGTGCACCATGGGGCGCAAACAAATTTACGGGGGGTGTTAGCACCACCACTTTTCCTTAACCTTAATTCAAACCATATCCCGAAAAGAACAAAGAAAAGAAATCAGCTACACAAGCTCTAACAGAAGATGACAGCATATGTCCCTAAAGAATGTCTGTGCACCACGACACCGCCGCCGGTCAACCCTGCTGCACTGTTTGGCTCGGTGACTTTTACTGTTTGGCTCGGTGACTTTACCTCAGTACCAGTCACACAACAGCAACGTTGCCGTCGGCGAAAGGAACCGCCACTCGCAATGACACGTCTTCTGATTGCGACCAGCACTCATGATGGCGCCTGACTGGAGACAATGTGCAGAGTCAGCCAGCCACGGTTTACATCACTCCCGCTGCGTACATTCAAAACACTCAAAAGAACAATGCAGTAGGGCAAAGGAAAGGGAGCTCCGGGCTCCTCGCCCACATGGTACGATGGTTAGTACTGCTAGCTAACACGTCGGCAGCAACCGAAACGCCCAGCTAACTTATAATAAAGGTCGCTTGTCCAAACTCGTGCATCACAAGAAAAAAAAAAAAAAGTGCGAGAAGCAGAGTGCAACACCTCAACACCACGATCCACCTAGTTGTGCTACGTGCGACAGGCGGCTGTGCAGAGCTTTAGGCCTAATGAGTCGCTTGACAACAACCGACATTCACATAGCAACCAACCTAGACGCAAAAGAGGCAGCGGCAAGGCGACGTTCATTCTGTAAGGTGGCCCTATTTGCTCACTGCACACAGCAGCTTACCGAGCGATCGGCGCCTCTTGTCCTGGACGGTGTCACAACGCCCCGGCGTCGAGCCGCAAGAGAAAACAGCAACGACGCCCGGCTCTCTGAGCCCAAAAGAGATAGAAGAAGCTATTTACAAAAACTCAACATGCCGACAAGTTGAAACACGTCACAAAAACCGATCTCCTCGCCCTCAACAAAACACACCGCCTACGCTAGCAATGGAAGTCCCCCTAAGTACGCTTGGCCTACTCATCTCCGGCTCAAACAAAAGCTTGTACCGAACTGCGACCACTGTCGTCCGATGCTCCAAGAGCCCCACGTTGGGCAGCCAGTGTAGGGTCTCGAAATGGCGAGCGTGCCATGTCTTGGAACATGGGCACAGCAGACCATGCCATGTTCTTGGAACACATGCAGAGCAGTCACGGTTGGATCAAACGAAGCCAAAACACATTTAACTACTTTTAGAATGGCGATATGGTCAGACAAATGATTATGCATATTGTGATTCACATACTAGGACAACCTCACACTCAACACTCAACAACATGACAAACACAAGAACACACGCAAGGCGGCTTCACCAACGCTTGACTCACCACAAGGGCCCCCGGCACGCAACTTGCGGTGCTGCACACAGGAGACCCATGCCAGAGACAACTATTCACACGGACTGCCATCCACCAAAAAGTACCCGCTTGTCTCTCGTGCGCCGCCACCTAGGCCTGCCGCCAGGCGTCACTGCCAGCGCTTGATACGATAATAGTGGTGACGAACGCTCGCAAGTACAACGCCACCTAGCGCTCGGTAGTCGTGAGCGCGAAATGCGGCCTATGCGCGAAACACGTGCACCATGAGAACTTTACAGGAGGTGTTAGTACCCCCGCAACTCGAATAAATGCAGATATCAAAATTTTTCTGCACTGACTGATTGCATGTTCTGTTACATGCAGACATTCGAATTACGCATACTGTTCAACTCCACAATAATGAAATCGATGGCTAAACTGAAAAAGTTTTTTATTCTGAGAATTTAGTTATCATGAGTAACGCAGTACAAATAAGAAAACGAAACTCTAAAGGCCAAGTGCAATGAAATTATGCACACCTCAAAACGCCAGTCTAGCTGTAGATAATGCCAGATTTTACCTTTAAAGTGCCAGTGGTCACCTAAAAAAAAATTGTGTCAACAAATCAATTTTTGATCCCAAAACTAAAGAAAACAACACCATTACAGCTGACCAAAAGCAAGGTGGACTGCTGCAGAAGAATCGTCTGCTCTCTTCGAGGTCGTGCCCTAGAGTTTCCTTTCTTGATGGTAACAGAACAAACATCCACCGAGGAAAGAAACACAAATACATGCCCATAGAGCATTTTTCTAAGCAACGACTTCACATTGCGTCCTGCTGTATTAGAGAACTTGCTGGTTCGCAATAAATTATGCTGCTGGTTTACACATTGCATATGCTCTCTAAGACAGCAGGACGAAGCGTTAAGTTGTTGCTTGGAGAAATGCTCTGTATTTGGGAAGAAAAGACTAAGCAACTAAAAGCATGCGTAGAAAAGGCGAGTGACGCCAAATCGACCGATGAAATGTAGGCACACATTGATGACTTAAAAATGGCAAAGCCGACGGCTAAACCTTGAATATTATGGCATCCAGAAAACATAACACGAAAACCTGCTGACCAAAATTAATGAAATTGAGGCTCAGGTCTGCTTTGACACTTTAGATATGCATGACGTCACCATAGTGCACAGGCTTCCATCAAGGCCAGACAGAATTTCGGGTGTTATCTTGCGATTCACTGGACAGGAGATACGAGACAAATGGTGTGCAGAAAGACGGTCCTTGTAGATAGCAAATAGTAATGTGCAAATTATGTACTTTAGCGCATATATTTTTTGTGTTTAGTTATGCATTAAGCAAATTATGTACTAATGTATTCCCACCCCTTATGTAATACCCCTTTTAAGGGGTCTTTAAGGTAATAAAATAAAATGAAATGAAATGAAATGTTTACATCTCTGAAAACATGACAAAGTGTTCCCATCACCACTCGAAATGCAAAGAGTGAATTAAACAGTCTGGCTGTGCGTTCGCGTGGCACATTAACGGAAAAATATTGACACAATGCGACTTCAAGTTACGTGCGCTAGTCGATACTTATGCCCTTCGGATGGTTTGTGGTGCACGCGCCTGCAAGACCTAGCTGCGCGCGACCAGTGCTGGACACAAAAGAACAGGGAAAAGAGAAGTGAGTCCTCGAGACTGCTAGAAGATTTCATTCTAGCATTTTTATTATTATCGGGCACAAGTTCCCCCTACCTTCGTAGGTCTATTAAAGTTTTTTTTGAGCTGTGCATTACAAATTTGGTGGAGGTGCCGGATACGATGCTTAGCTCCTCTCGAGGGAAGGAACACAGTCGAGAACCACAGCGACTTGGATCCAACGAGCTGATGCCTGTTCATCAGCACTGCAGTCGACGCCTACATGGTGACATCCTGAATTTTCACCTTTGTTAACTTCCCATCAAAAAAGTGTTAACTCCTTGGGAGGGACCACAAGTTTGCATAGCAGGAGAGCACCTCATCGAACCAGCGGGAATAATCACAAGCTAGAGTCGGATTGCGAGATTTAACGTACATCAACAGCTTAATTGTGCTGCCGGAATGCTCACGGGACTTGATTATCAGCATGGCTTTCTTACTAGCTAATGGCGCTGTAATACACTTGCGAGAATCTTCCGTCTCATTCTCGACTAGGCATGCTATTGCTACCTTTGAAACCGAAGAAAACGAATATGACCTTTGTATTGCAGATGATGACATCATAGTGCCGCCAAGATTGAGCATATCTGTTGCAGTAACCAACAAGTAACCAACAAGGAACAGAGATCTGTAGAGTAGCCAGCACAACCACAACCTTAATATAGGAACTAGCAGTAACCCAGATGACACCTCACCAGTAATGATAGAAAAAGTCAGTAAAGCCTTGGAGAGCATGCTAAGAGGCAAAGCTGCTGGTGAAGATCAGGTAACATGAGATCTGCTGAAAGATTGAAGACAGATTGTGTTAGAAAAACTAGCGACCCTGTTTATGAGGTGTCTCCTGACGGGAAAAGTACCAGAATCTTGGAAGAATGTTAACATCATCCTAATACATAACAAAAGAGATGACAAGGACTTGAAGAATTACAGGCCGATTAGCTTGCTCTCTGTAGTATACAAGCTATTTACAAAGGTAATTGCTAACAGAGTAAAGAAAACATTAGAATTCAATCAACCAAAGGAACAAGCAGGATTTCGCACAGGCTACTCAACAATCGACCACATTCATACTATCAATCAGGTAATAGAGAAATGCTCAGAATATAACCAACCACTATACATAGCCTTCATAGATTATGGAAGGCGTTTGTTTCAGTAGAAACATCAGCCTTCATGCAGACACTGCGGAATCAGGGCGTCGATGAAGTATATATAAACATCCTGGAAGAAATCTACAGGGGATCAACTGCTATCATAGTGCTTCATAAAGAAAGCAACAAAATACCAATCAAAAAGGGTGTAAGGCAGGGGGACACAATCTCCCCAACGCTATTTACCGCGTGCTAACAGGAGGTTTTCAGAAGCCTAGAATCGGAACAGTTAGGGATAAGAGTTAATGGAGAGTACCTTAGTAACCTGCGCTTT